CTTTCCTCTCTTTCTTGAAGATGGGCACCACATTGGCCTTCCAATCTTTGGGCACTTCACCAAAGCGCCAGGAGTTCTCGAAGATTCGTTCCAGGGGCTGAGCTATGATGCTCGCCATCTTCTTGAGTACCCTGGGGTGTAAACCGTCGGGGCTGGCTGACTTGAAGGTATCCAGCCTGTCAGGGTGTTCCTTCACAAGGTCAGCTTCGATGGATGGTATGGAATCTCCCTCACCCGGGCCTTCCTGACGCAGTGGGCAGGGCCGTCCCATGGGACTGGTGAAAAACTGATGCAAAGTACCCATTTAGCAAGTTTGCTTTTTCATGTTCGTCAGTTGTCCCATCTGGTTCAGCAGGGGTCCAATGTTGCCCTTGCTTTTCCTCTGGCTCCCCACATATCCAAAAACGGACTTTTTATTATCTAAAAAAGGACTCTGATATCTGTAGCTAGCTGGAGTTCCATCGCAGCCTTGGCTTTCCTGGTTTGCTCTCTGCGGGTCCGGACCTGAGCAGAGTATTCCTCCTTGGTGGTGGTTCCAGTCCTCCATCCTTTGTAAGTCTTTCTTTTAAGATGTAGGAGGTCTGCCAGTTCCCTGGAGAGCCAAGGGGGCTGCTGTGCCCTTTTGCTGCCTTCATTAGGTAAGAAGAATTAAATTGTACTATATACTGTGATCAGGTATAATTTTAGCTATAACTAAATAGCTACCCAGTATCTTCCTGTATAGAATTTTAGTCAGGTTGGCCTCTCTTGACTGCTGGTAGGAAAATCACTGGCTGGCTCCTGCTTCATAAGGAGACTGGCAGATTCTCTGTCCAGTCAAGCCTGGATCCTTTTCTGGCAATTAAACTGTATCTTTGGTTAAAACTTGAATTCAGTATAGGTGCAATAGAGTGAAAGTTTTTTGACAGGTGTATAGACTGTCAAACTACATAATCTAATCTATGTGCTGAAAGATTACTCCTGAAAGTAAATTGTGGTGTGAGGGGTAGGGATAAGGAGAACAGGTTAATTGTACCTTTTCACTGAATTCTTTTCCTTTTACATGATTGTTTTTGCTGTCCCGTATCTCAGTGGACTGGGGATTCTCAACTAGAGTCAGGAGATCCTTTGAAAGCAGGTGTGAGGATATAAACCAGGTGATAAAGAGATAAGGGCAGGCTCAGACTCGATCACTGCTTGGCTGTTCCTCATCTGGACTGTCCACGCCCTCTGCAAGGTGGTAAGTACTCTAAATAAATTGCTTTTTAAAATGGGGTGCTGCTCCATTTAACACCCCATTTTAAAAGTTATGGGGGGTAGATTGTGTCTAAAGATGGGTGCCACGAGTCTAAAAAAGTAAAGAACCTGTGCAGTAGATGAGTTAACTCAGCTACAGTACTGAATTCTTTCAGTGTGCCGGTGCAGAAGAGTAAATGAATCATAAAAAGAGGGAGTTAGTACTACATTTCGGAAGGACTTTCAAGAATTCTAGCCAGGGGTGGGGGGAAAAGGAGTTCCTCTGAGTTGCCTTTCATGGGATTTTTTAAAAGCACTTGACTTTAGTGTTTCAGTCACTTCAGTGGACATTATAGAAGGATCAGTTTGGAGCTCTTTTAAAACTTCTACCCTCTGGTTAACAAATAGTTCACATTGTGTAAAGAAACTGTGCTTACACTACCATGGATGTATATCCCTCTATTAGTCTGCATTAGTGCTATATTAAAAATCAGTTGTTTTCTTGAATGACTCTAGTTACAATTTTCATACCTCATAGTTACAAAAATCACCAGTTCTTGTTCCAACAATTCATCTATGAAGTAGTATGCCATCTTTAGTTCTGTTTTTCCATACAGACTTATTGGGGCATGAATGGGGCAAAAAATTGCTTTTTTGCCATTTCATGTAGAATTATTAATAGATTCGTCCTGTAATTTTCTGATTTTATGCACTTTTTCTCATCATTTTTCTCTAAGGGCACATTAATGAGTATTTTGGGGTTTTACTACCTCTGCCAGTACATTATGGTCTCAATATTTGGCTCTTCCTTTTCAGTCAGGAATGACAACACAGCTTCCTATAGTAGTCATTTTCTTTCATATGACATTGTAGGATTATAACATTCATAGATTAATATCTACATTTGATAACCATGTGACTGCTCCAGGGGTAGCTGCCTGGATTGATTTTCAGATAGCCATTAAATGATGTAATTGGGCAATCGTTCACAATGTGTTGCACTGTCTGAAAAATGGCACCACAGTTGTAACCCGGGCTCTCTTTGACTCTCCATTTGTGGAGTAGATGTCCACATTTTCCATGAAGTGTCTGGATGCGATTCAGGGAGGATCAACTCTTTCTCAGTAATTCAAATCCTGGCTGGAGGATTGTAGGGTCACTGATGATTATTTCTGTGGCAGGTTGGTATTTGCCTAGGCTTCCCTCCATTGTTCTCCAGTGCTTTTGTTATCATCATAGTGCTTCTTGGCATATTTTGAGAAGGGTTTTCTAGATTTGAGCCTACCTGGTGGTAGCATGATGATGTCTTTGTTGATTGGGAGGTTTGGGTTACCTATGGCCTTATGGTATTCCCTCATGCATGTGGCATTGTCAGAGCTGTGTGGGAGCAGTATTCCCTAGGACTGGAAGCCATGGCAATGACATACTTTTTAGTGTTCCTGATGTAGTCTGCATAGCAGCTTTTAGCTGCATATCAACAATCTTTGTATGCACACTTTTGTTCCAGACTGGAGAGCAATATTTTGCTGCAGAGGAAACAAGTGCTAGAGTGGTCATTTGAAGTGTGGTTGCATTTGCTCCCCATGTCATTCTGACCAGTTTATGCACAAGGTTAACTTGTGCTTTCATTTTTTTTTTAGCGACATTCTGTAGATGTTCATGAAAGGTATGGAAGTAGTAAGTAATCAATATGGAAAAGTAACATTGGGAAAAGGAAATCTTTGGTTTCCATTTTCAAGAACAAGGTCTGTACTGCAGTGTTTGCAGGTACTGAGGGGAAAAGAGGGTTTTTAAATACATTTTTGAAAGGAAAAATCTTCACAAGCTGTTGAAAATCAGTGTAAGAGGTCTTTGAATTAATTTCCTCCTGTATGCTGCAGTAAAAGCTATTACTTCTTTTTACGTGAAGCTGTACAAATTCCCTCTGCTGCTCCTTCTCTGTTAAATATGTTATAATTTTTCTGCAGAGACTTGCTCAAACCTACTCACTGTTTTTTGTTTGTGGTTGTAATAAATCTGTATCACATGATGTGCTTTCAGTGGTTAAAGTTTACTCACACATGTCATACGACTAGGTAGGTTACCTCTGCACTCTAAACGCTTGCAGACTTTGTTGACATTTTAATTGATACATTTCCTCTTTATTTTCTTCAATGATAAATACAGGGTGTACTTGGATATGAGGCACTGAAAAAGAGCAAAACACCCAACTACTCACCTTGCACATTTTACTGTATACCATGGAGACTAAGGAAGAGAAGAAGGAGCGGAGACAGGGTTATTTTGCTCGGTAAGTTTGTAATTTTTATTTCAATCCTGATAAAAATGCAACTGTGGACTTTGCCTTCTGTGTTGGGTCTGTTTTTTACATTTTAAAAAGATAATCTAGTGTGTTATAAATCCAGCAGAGCCTCAGGGGACCTAGATTTCCAAGCATATTTCTTCTTGGCATTTGAATAATGATTTGCTGTCCTCTCTTTGCTGTTTCCAAGTAATGGAGTTAACCCTGCCATACCAGTTAGCTCTGTACCATAAGTAACATCTATATCATGGTGAACCTAATTAAATTGCTCTGAATCTGATATTAGCAACTTGCAGTAAATCTGAGCTCCAAGTGGCTGGTTCCTGTGTAAGGTTAACTGGATATAGCTGCAACAACTTAACTGCAAAAAAATACAGGTCTTTAAATTTTAGATTCCTAGACACAGATTCAGTAGTACTTTACCTCAGGGGGACAGCTGGTAAATTGGGGAGACTTATTGCCCTTATACCTTCAGAAATGAAACTGCTCTATGTTGTTTTTAACATTGTGTATAAATATTCGGACTTCTCTAATATATATAGTGTTAATGTTCTGTTTTTTCCCCAAGCACTTTTATCATCTTGGGGCCATGGCTTATGGGTTTTAAAAATAAAAATGAGTTGCTAAGGTCTTACCCCTTATCTTTGTAACACTATAGCTATTGTATAGCCATCCATGACAAGCAACAAAGGAAAAAGAGTATTAAAGCTCACACAGCTGGCTTTGAAAAATATGAGAATATGGTTAGGCAGACAAGGTTCTGTGGATAAATGTGATATCTTTTATTAGACCAACTAAATAGTTGGAAAATTTGTTCTTTGCAAGCTTTTTGGTATAGACACCTTTTGTCAGGCATAGGGAGAGTCTGCTGCTGTTTTGCATTTTCCTGGGTGGAATAGAAGACAACATGCAAAACACAAGTCTGTGACAATGCAAATACATGGCAGCGAGGATCAGTAGCCATGGGAGACGATAGATGAGAGACAGGTAGGTGGGGTGGGGGAAAGGGGGAATGTTGGTCTGGTGATAGTAAGTAGCTGGTAAAATGTAGAGAGGTTACCCAAGGTGTAGGGTGTAGCTGTGTTGGTCTAAGGACATAGGCTGGCAAGGTTATTTGGGTAAATCCTATATCTTCTATTAGACCACCTCAAACAGCTGGAAAAATTCTTCTTAGCAAGCTTTTGGGCACAAACACCCTTCGACAGGCTGAGGAAGCATCTGCAGATGGTCTGTGCTCTTCCTGGATGGAGTGGTAAAGCAGCCAGAGGCCAGTATATATGCAAGCAAGCCAGTCAGTTAAAATGTAAATTGAGGTGGTCAGTAGGTGAGAAACAGGTGGTGGAGGGGAGGGGGAAATGAAAGTAGCTGTAGTCAAAAGATGAGAGACAAGGGGGTGAGGGGGAAACAATCGGAATAGCTGGTAAAAAGTGGAGGGTTTACCTGGGGATTCAGATGTTAGGCAGGTTATAATGTCATAAATCCAGTATCTATATCTGGTCCATGATTTTTTATATCCAGTAGATTTATAAAGTGAAGTTCAAAGACAAGCCTATGACCCTGCGTGTAGCACAGGAGACTGGTCTGAAGTGCACTCTACATGCAGCCCCCCACTGACTGGGCCCTGGGCTCTGGTTCTGGGGCTGATCCAGATCAGGCTATGCCGGAAGCAGTGAGAAGGGCCAGTGTGGTGGGGCACCATGTACAGCACATGTCTTGGACTGACCCCCTGTGCTAAGTGCAGCACACACAGTTAGTCCAGCCCTTCATACCACATGCAGCATGTTTCAGTCCCAGGGTTTGGGGGCACGTAAGGTTATTGCAGGATGCACACTGCGCATGGCACAGGGGGTCCAGGGTGGGGGCTGCACGCAACACCCCAGACCTGCCCTCTGGGCTGCTGTAGCACTGGTTTCAGACCATGCACTGTTAGTTTGCATGCCATGTGCACAGAGAATCCTAGGGCTGGTGCATGCTGTTGGTAGGCTGGACTTGGTGCTGTGGGCACTGCATGGGGGAAGTGGTCCCTGTCTGGCTCACAAACTGGACCACTGATCTACATCAGGCCCACACAGCCAAATGAGTTTGACACCCCTGTCTTAAGTTAATATTTCAGCCTGCTTGGGAAGCAAACTCCAGTTAACATTCAAACAAGGTGAAACTGCCATGCTGAGAGTTGTTGTCAGCCCAACACTAACTTGTATTTAATTTGAATTCCATGGTGATCCTGACTAAAATCTAATGAAAGGCAGCGTAGTCCAGGGGATGGGGCGTTGCACTGGGATTCAGAGGACACGGGTTCTGTTTGTAGCACTACCTTGTTGTATGACCTTGGACAATTCACTTTACCTCTAGGTATCTTTCTCATTCCATGTACTCCTGGTCTGTCTCTTTGGAACACTTTTGCTAGTGTCTGCCTCCATGAAGCACTGGTTTATATTAGGCCCCCCAGGCTATCTTACAGTAGGCAGGCTAGATGTGTATTATGCTTCTTTTGCATACAAGGACCAGAATCCCTACAGGGTACACAGGCAGGCTGTCAGAGTCAGCACTGAATCAGAGTCTCCTGAGCTCTAGCTTAACAATTGAATTACAAGATCATTCTTCCTCTGGTAGTCGGACTTCCCATGATCTAGAAGATAAGTATTGGGGCACCTTGGTGAGAACCGAACAGAACGATACCTACAAGGGGGACTCTAGCGACATTCCTAGCACAGAACAATTGATCGAATCTGCTGGAGTATGATAATTACTGCACTCCAGCAGACTCCAGTGTCACATGTATCAGCATCCCCATGCTGAAAAATGGTGGTGGGGGGTGCTTTAACTAAAGCTCATTTCGTGTCTCAGCCCTAACTAGTGATAGTTTTGCTTTTACAAGTATCTTGTGTCCAAATATCTTGTTTGTTCTGCCTCTTCTAGTGTTCATCTTTTACTAAACAAAGAGATGCTGTGTGGGGTGTCTCTCTCTCCCCTCCGCTCCCCTCGCTCCATTGCCCTGTGTTGCATTATGTTTTACACCATCCCAGGTTAGTGTTGTTTTTTGTGAGGTAGGAGATTTGGGTTTTGCAAACACAGGAGTTACATAAAGTAAATATTGTCTCATGATCCAAAGACTCTTTTTTGTGGGGTTTTTTTGTTTTCTTTCTTTTGTACCAGTAATTTCATTAGTAAAAAATAAAAAAGTGTAATGTTTTAGGAGGGGGAGCTGCTGTCAAAGAATGGAAAATACCAATGGGATGGCAGAATGCCAATGAAAACACTCTCTCAGTCTCTCCTGCATCTTATTTTAAACCCTTATGTAAATTAAATTTAGGGTGAGGGTAAGGAAGCAGGGGAGAGGGATAAAAGACTTATTGAACAACAATCAAAGCATAGATCATTGTTCCATGTAATAGATATGCTGTAGAAGTTAGCTGCCACAATTTGAACACAACCCTGAGAAAACACTTCAGGACTGCTGACTTGCATTTCAGAGTTAGCATGGAGACTGAATGCCCTTTTCTACACGGAGTGCCAGTTGGTGCCTGACTTTTTTTTTTTTTTTTTTTTTTTTTTTT